ACATTTTTAAATGAGCTGAAACAAAGTTATTAACAGGAATTTAGTGGAAATCTGTGTGTGCAACATATTCCAGTGATAGGTATGGTCATTAATGTGTTCTTCCCCCTTTTTTCCACAAAGCTTTATGGAATAACTCTAAACGTAGCCTGAACTTAGTTTGCCTAAGCTTAGTTCCTGGAATGCAATAAAATAAAGCATTCAGCCACATAGGGTAGTAATTATTTGTATGAGAGAAACAAATTTAAGTAAAATTTAGAGCCATTTAAAAAAATTTACACTATCAAATATAGAAAACTTTCACAGGCATCCCTAGTCTTTGAAGGCATGTCTAATTTTGGCCTCTTCTTTGTAGACATGGTACAAAATGATTTATCTCCTTGATGGGATAAATCAAAGAAATTTATTCAAATCTTAAACTGTCCTACAGGGTGTAAACTTGAGTTTCATCCAGAGGCATCCTGAATGACCACTTAGACTGTAAAAGTAGTTGATGTTACTCTACCAAACCATAAACATCTTCATGTATGTTTTGAGAAGATATTTTTTAGTTGCTCCAGAATGTTTTCAGTTATATTTTGATTAAGTGAGTAAACATTAAACACAAAAAGAGAAAGTCCAAGCTGTGATAAAAATTTAATTTTATGCTTTTTTTAAACTTAGTTACTGAGGGTTTCGTGATCTTCATGAGGTGTTTAATAGCATTGAAGTTGGACTAGGGAAAAAAGCAGGAAATAGATCTTCTTAGGAACAACTGATTTGTTGTTTATTTTCAACAAGGTGACTAAAAAAGACATTTAACATATCAACTTAGAATATATTTATCATATTGGAGGAAAATCAGGGTTAATTTCACTATTTCCTTTGTATGTATTTAAGCTACTTGATTTTAGGCATAATTGTATAGTCATTTCAGAAACACTATAAATTCAGCATTATGTGGAAGTAAAATGCCTTTAAAGAACTTTTCAAGAATGAACTAATTTAGGATTTAAATGAAAGGAAAATTGGAATGGAGATAATAAGAATGTTAGGTTAAATAAATTTCGTGCTCCACTCAATTATTATAAAACTTACAACTGACAGAAAAATCCTTCTAATACAAATGCCAGTGAACTCTAAGAGGTAAACAACATGTTCAAAGATTTTGTTTAAGTTTATATTCCTTTTTACCAATAGCTCACAGTCCTGTTAATGATACTGATGTCCCTGCGGAAACAACTGAATGCATTCAAGGTCAAGGAGAAGGTTACAGAGGCACCATCAATACCATTTGGAACGGAATTCCATGTCAACGTTGGGATTCTCAGTATCCTCACCAGCATGACATAACTCCTGAAAATTTCAAGTGCAAGTGAGTAAAGTGGGCAAATGTTATAAATTTCAGCAGACCTTGGGGGAAATGAGGTAAAGTGATTACTTTTTACTAATTTCTGTGTTAGCCATTCTCAAACTTTAGTGTGCCCAGTGACAATTAGGATTTAAACGGCAATTTATTACTCCACTCAGAGATATTGATTCCTTAGTTTTGGGATTTCGCCCTTAAATATGCATTTTAATAAATACTCCAGGTGATTCTGATCCAGAGGGTTGATTCACTGTGCTTTGAGAAACACATCCCTAAGTTGTTTCTGATCACAGCTTTGCTCTTGCAGGTCTATTTAATAAATCAATTAATAGTAATGATAACCAGGCTTGTTTCACACTAGTCCTTTTTTAATTTTTCTTACTACCTTTGGGAGAAATTACATATTCTTTCCTCTTACAAGAAGAAGCCCACCTTGATTTCAGTTAACATTTTAAACTGGGACAGGTACAGTGGCTCACCCTGTAATACCAATACTTTAGGAGGCCAGAGTGGGAGGATTGCTTGAGACCGGGAGTTCAAGACTAGCCTGGGCAACACAGCGAGACACCTGTCTCTACAAAAAATAAAAAAAAAGAATCGGCCAGGTGTGATAGCATACACCTGTGGTCCTTTCTACTTGGCAGACAGGAGGATCCCTTGAGTCTGGGAGTTGGACATTGCAGTGAGCTGTGATCATGCCACTGCACTCCAGCCTGGGCATCAAAATGAGACTTTGGCTCAAAACAAACAAACAACAACAACAACAACAACAACAAAACATAGAAAAAACCCCCAAAGAACTGCCACAATACCAAACAAAAAAATTTTTAAACTGATGAGTTTTGAGCCTTAAAGATCTATGAACGAAATTATTTTTAAAAGTTTAAATGAATGTTTTCATTGTTTCTGGATTTGCTTTGAAAAATGGGGACATAAAGCAATTGTTTAGATGAATCATGTCCTTAAGTATCAATTATATAGTTGTTTTGTGCATTCTCTATGGCTGCTTTTTTTTGCTACTTGACTTTTGTTAGACAGAGCCACAATGCCATGTGTTTTGTAATTGTCCACCTTGTTATGAGGAACATAAAATGATTGCTTTTGAAATTTATAACACACGTGTCGTTCATAGTGGCTTTCCTGAAATAGCACCTGTAAATAACATGTATTGGCTTTATGTAATTGGCTTTTAATAAGACAGCCTAACATTTCAGGATGGAGAGCTATGAGCACGAGTTGCCCCATCCACTGGAGGAGACGGGAGATATTTGTTTGTGTGCATGTGTGTGTGGTGTGTGTGTTTTAGGTAATTCAGTAATTTATTTGTTTAGATAGTGAATATTCATCTGCTAAGATTTTCTTATATTATTTTATAATAACGAAACATATAGTTGTTATTCTGGGTTTATTTCCCTCATTTCCTTCACAGCAATTCACTCTCTATTCCTGACCCATGTGTTTCACACCTCAGAAATATCAAACTGGAGAAAACAAAGAAAATGAGAAAAGATTACTTAAAAGGGACAAAGGAGACAGTGTCAGTGTCATTCGTACTTTTTGTTAACTTCTAATGACTGATAATACCCAAGAAAAAGTTGTGTATGTGCAGATACCCAAAGAACTTCATCTGTAAGAAACAGAGAATGATTATAAAAACTTAATTCACAGGCTTCACAATTAAAACTTAATTATCAGAAGTTCAATTGTTATATCTTATTGGAATTTAAACCATCCTTTCTTAATTAAGCTATTTGGCCAAAATAACCAAACATAAATATCAAGAAACAAAGCTTGTGCTGTGTTATAAGACTGATAAAATTGGACTCAACATTTTGCTCAGAATATTGATTATTTACTATTTGTGATCTAGTGGGAGATAGGGGGGTTGTGCTAGTCAGGTGTCTCCAGTTCTATTAAACATCACTTGCCCCATTACTGAGACTCCTTACAAATGACAATCTTTGAAACATTGTCACTGAACAGTCCTGCCTGGATGATGAATCTATATGAATCATGAAATCATCAATTCACTTTGGCAATGGTGAACAATTTTTTTCTTCAAGTGAAGGGTCTCACCTTAGGGAAAATATTTGGACAAACCCCAACTTTCATTCTTGCTTAATCTAGATTAATGAGGTGCTTCTAAATATAGGTTTTAAAAGGGGACCCAAACTAAGACTTCTGATAGCCATAGATTTTCACTTAATTAATTATCTTTCCTTAAATTAACAATCTAAAATTATTTAACTGAATAATTATTCATCTAAAATTGCAAATTTGTGTAAAATTTAATACCCATATTTATACTGCCATAAAATTTTAAAACATGAGTATAAATTGGTTTAAAGGAAATACAAGGATTTTTTTCATCTTTTCTAGTTAATAAATTTATAAGAAGGCTAAAAGTTTGAATATGAGTTATAATTATGAGCATTTACTATATAATGGCCTTAACTCTTGGCAATCAATGTACTCACATCCTCAAATAACAGTTTGTATCAGGACCTGCTTTGACCAGATAGACTATTATTTGTTAATTTTCTAACCAAGAGAAGCTTCTTCCTTAAAAACTTCTCTGTTTCTGGTGGTCCATTTGGGTACTACTAAAATTATAGTACTTCTAATTGGACCTAAGTGATACAAATACTGTGGTTTCCAATAGATTGCATATCAATTTAGTTAAATTATTTAGCCGGGGATCCATGAAAAGAAAGTACATGCTTAATTTAAAATTAAAAAGAATATTTCAAACATTTTTTTATCATAAATTCCATATCAATTTAGTTAAATTATTTAGCCGGGGATCCATGAAAAGAAAGTACATGCTTAAAATTAAATTAAAAAGAATATTTCATTTACAACTTGATGCCCATATGAAAACAAAAACTGTTGAATTACAGCATATATTAAACTGCCCAAATTTCTGAAAAGTGAGAGTTTCAAGTGGCTGTAAATTAATCAGGAAAAATCTGTAAAAGTAAAATATCTCATAACTGAGACAGCTAGAAAATAAACTTACTAACAAAGTGAAAGAAGATAAGGTAATTACTGTGATAGAACAAGGCCTAGATTAGTTAGCCAAATTTAGTGTATTTCCATCAAGCATCAGGCCTAGAAAAGGAGTAAGATTTTGGAAGCTGA